CAATATTATATATTAATCTATATTAATCTAATATATATTATATATATAATATATGTTATATATATAATATATACAATGGGAGATGTCCTAAGTTCTTAGGCCCCTGAACCCCTGTGGAAGATGTGGGAGAACCTCCCTCCTGGCTCCTGGCTTTGGCCTGGTCCAGTTCTGGTTGTTGTTGAAATCTAAGCAAGACCTCTAAAAAGAAAGAACAGGATATTTGTGTTCAGGAATCATTGCTGCTCTGAAATGGTGACAATTCTTTTTTTTTTAATTTATTTATTTGAAAGATAAAATTACAGAGAGGGAAGGAGATAGACAGTTCTTACATGCTTTTACTTCCCCAATAGCTACATATCTCCCAGGTGGGTGGCAGGGGCCCAAATACTTGGATCATCTTCCACTGCTTTCCCAACTACATTAACAGGGAAATGGATTGAAAAATGGAGCAGTAGGGGGAGGATTCAAACCGAAGTTTAAATGGGATACTGGCATTACAGGCAGTGAAAACTTAACTTGCTACACCACAAATGAACCTCCTACTAATTAGGGAGTTTCTCTCATATAGTCTTTCTGATGAAGTCAAAGTCTGGCATAGTCCAACAACCAATGACAGAAGTATGGCTTATCTGCCTCTCAAAGAAAACAAATGTCTTTTTCCCCAGCAAGACAGATAGCTCTGACCACCATGTGAATTCCAGAGAGACTCTGTCTGGCCCAACCACCAAGTCTCCTACCCTCCTCACCAGCCAAGCTCTGATATTGGAGATGCACAGGAATGCAGCACAATTCTCCCCCATGAGAGCTCTGCAGGACACGTTTTACCTTAGGGCACAGTAAATGAAAATCGTTGCCTCACACATTGTTCATAGTTTCTTGGGGGGACATTGGCTCCCTAAGTCTCTGTGGCTTTTGTGTGGTGTGCTGCGATACTGAAAGAATTTGTTGCAGACATTCAGCAGAACCTGAAATCCAGTCACAACATTGTAGTATCTAAGATCTGTCCTCCCACAATGACTTCATTTTATTTATGCTCCATTTGAAAGGAGATAATTGCTTAGGGGAAACAGCAACAATCAGAGCCATGGAATAGGAACTACATGCCACATATCACATTTTTCCATATCTTCACCCATTCTGGAAACACCACAATGCTTTAGGAAGGTTTGAATAGCATGAGCCTTCTAATACACACAAGTTCTGTCTGGTGTACTCACAATGCCATAATCTACACGAAGAAGGGGCTAGCATTGTGGCTTTGTGTATGCGATGAAATCCTCATCATGGTCCTGTGTTGCAACTACTGTTTGTAACCCCAAGTTGCAAATAAAGAAGCTAATCTGAGCATTATCTATTGAGTTCCCTAGATGCAGACTGTGAGAGAGATGCACAGGCTGATTAATTGTTGAGTATTCTTGATAGATCCACCTATGACAAAGTGGGGAAGCCAGGATTCACTGGAAACCAAAGCCACCATACAGAAGCCTCAGTCAGTCCAACATTATTTCAGAGCTGGAGTGTCACTTCTAGATTACTCCCAGAGCAAAATCGAGAGACCCATTCACTGCATCATCATGGAGGTCTGGGAAGTACCCCATGCTCTGGGAGGCAACACAGTCGTTTTCTGGGCCATCAAACTGCTATTGGTCTAGCTTGCCTCGTCTGTTTTGCACTAGTTCTTTGACCTTTTTTGACCCATCCCATACCTGTAAGTTAACATCATTGACAGCCAGGACACTTCATTCAAACTTCTGAGTTGAGAGGGAAATGACAAGTGATTTATGTTTACAGCTAGGAAAGTGAGGGAAATATTGTCTTCTATCTGAGTTGCTTGGGCTGATGTTAGTTAGGAATTGATCAGGATGGAGTGAATTCTGTTAGTCATTTACTGAGCCTAAGAAATGAATTCTGAACCACCCCTCCAGGATCACCTCCGTGTTGAGATTCTGATCTTTGGGGAGCATCACTATTTTGGGACACAATGGGAACTGAGTGGAAGTTGAAGAGGGAAAGGTATGCAAAAAAGGGAAGGGGGAGATGAGTATTTTGTTTCTCTCCTTCAAGCTTGAACAACTGGGCCTGCTTGTGTGAGGCCATGTCTATTCTGAGCATGCTCTGATTCAAGTACAACCTAACTGGCAATCGGTCAGTGCCTTGTGGCTGCATCATTTTCCAGTCTCCTTCACTTTAAGATTGTGACAGTAATTCAAACAAACAAACAAACAAAATCCAAGAAACCCAAATGCCATTAATGAGGCATTTTAAATGGCTTTTAAAACCCTACCTTTCTGTCTCTAATGACTACGTGAACAGCTAAAGATGTTGTAATGAAAACATACCCTGCATGTTTTCATCTTCAGTGTTCTGGTCATCCATTTTCTGTGCTGCTCCATGGTCCTGAATACAGAGCATCTGCTAGCATGGAGTAGGAATTTAAATGTTTCTAGGAAGCTAAATCAATCAATCACAATGGCATTCTACATCAGATGTAGCTTATAAATATAATCAAAAGGCTATCCTATAAAAGCAAGGTGCACATAAATCCTTACAGTGAGAGTACTTCTACTGATAAAGAGTTCTTTACAATTTTTCATGATCTTGTTCACTTTCTACAGTCAGAGCTTAGGAGAAAGATTTCTGGATTTTTATCTTATAGTGTAGTTGTTTATCAAATACCATTACAGTCTATTTATTACATTAAATAGAAAGCAGTAGAACTGAACATACCCCCCCAAAAAGAATCTGGAAATAAATTACATTTTGTACTTCATTTATTGCATTGCAATATAAAACTGTGGGAATTTCTATGACTAAATAATTGTTTTTCTAAGTATATAACAGCATCTGGTTAGCACATCTTTATGAGTGTCAGATATGACTTGTATTACACAAGCTTGTAATGCAAGGAGTCACACAGATAGAAAAACTTCTCTGTAGCCAAATGAATTTGGCTTCTGTGTCCAAACCCCCAAGAGTGATTCCTAAGGCATGGATTATAATTAAAGGAGGAGGAAAACCATCCTAGTAACCTTTGCTCATTCAGAAAAATTAGATAGAAAATCATCATTGAGGAGATGATTCCCGCAAATGATGGGATTGCTGTACTTAGCAGTAAAGGATGTTGCTGAAGGCTCATCTTTGCTTTCTGTTAGTCTATGCATCTAGCCTACCATAGCATTAGTACATACAGCCAAGTATTGGTGACCAAGAATATTTTGCAGTAGCTCCTGCTCCAGTCAGCAGGTGTTTGTGTAAGCAGGCATGAGCACAGCAAATAGCTTCTATTAAGCATGGATCTTGCCCTGTACCCCAGTGGGGGGTCTGAGTATTGGATACAGGATCGTATGCACTGCCCACAATAATACCTTTATCCTTCTCCTTTTATGGATGAGGTAAAACCATATTAAAAAAAATGAACAGCCAGTAACTGGTAGTATTTATAAATTCAGAATAGTTTTCATGTTGATTAATACATTCAAAGGTTACAGTAACCCAACTACAAAATATTGTTATTATTCCCATTTTTTTTTTCATTAGAGTCATTCAGCAGATGAGCTTTCTAGTAAGGATAAGAGCCACAGTTTGAACCTTTTGAAAGCCTATGTTCTTTCCACCATCCCACATTGCTCCCACCAGGCATTTGGCATACGTGTTTTTAGGGACAGTCAGTGCCCAATTTTGAATTTAATAAGGCAAATGTAAAACAAAACACTTCCAGGTTCAATAGCTGTAATTTTAAGATCCTATCCTTTTGCTGGATAGATAGGGTAATGAGGTACTATGTTGACAAGGAGGAAAAGTGCTTTAGTTTTCAAAGGCATTCTTTGTGCAGGAGGACTAATAGGATGTGCCCAGCCTGCCAAAGAGATGGAATTTTGTAGCCAGTGCAGTGTAATGGCTACAAACAATGGAAAATTCTAGTACAGTGACTTAAGCAGTTAACTTTTCACATGTAAGAAGAAGCCAAATGGCAGGAGGCAACAAGTGCTGGCTCAGTTGCTCCAAGATGTCATTAGAACCTAGACTCCTTTCTCTTCCCACCCCGCCAACCTTTACTATTTTGATCCTTTTTAAATGAGAATCAGAAGACATCACATCCATCATAAAGTTGGAAGCCCAAGGCGAAAGGGAGAGGCTGTACCAGCCATATTGTTCCCAAGTCAGCAGAAGAACATGAGCTTTCTCAGGCCTTTCCATCCTCAGAAGTTTTCCACTTAGAACCTTTGGTTCAGCAATCTGTGCCATGGCTATCCCAATAGATAAGAGATGCTGGGAAAGCAGATACTTTACTCAGAAACATTCTCTCCACATCAGAAGTGCATCTTTATGAGAGTGGAGTGGAGTGGGAACTCAGAGAGTAAGCCTTCTGGACTAGGAAGCTCAAGTGGAGGAGAGTTAGTGCAATAGGGAAATACTTGGGAACAGTTAGAGGGTGTTGGTGGAGTGAGGTAGGATAGCATCGTGTCCATTGTGTTTGTCTTTCTACCCGAGCAGTCCCAGAGCATCACACCAGTAGCAATACCTTCTCTCCTTGGTCCTCTTCTTGACACTCTTTATTTTTTATATCCCAAGCCCAGACCCAAATAGTGTTGGCAATTTTGTTTTGTATTGTATTGTATTGTGGGATTGTAGTATTGGCAATACTAGTGTTACTCATTGTTGGGTTCTGCTTTCTTAATCCCCAGCAATAGGCATGACATAAACTATGAAGTAAGTAATTGTGAGCTGAGGAAATTCTAGGTAGAGATAGCAGCTGGGAGAGGCTTTCACCTGTCATGGCCAGGAAACTACTCAGGAACCCATGCAAGGATCCTGGATGCCATTATTTCCAGAATCCACTTGTCCAGTTGGCTCAATGGCCCAGCTTCACACAGGAGGAATCCAAGCAGGCTGATGACTCCCAGTTCTGGGAATCTTTTGATCTGAGAACAGCTCTGTGTGACTTTGTTACTGCTCTGTGTAATTCCAGCTCTGTGACATCCCTCTCTTTCTCTTTGCAGAACCAGCTCTCCCAGGCACTGAATGGACTGTCAGACAGGGCCAAAGAAGCCAAGGAGTTCCTGGTGCAGCTCCGCAACATGGTACAGCAGATCCAGGTACCTGAACCCCTGGGGAGGGAAAGCAGCGGGGGAGGGGGAGGTGAAGAGGTTGTCACGTGACATTGTGCAGGGAGAGAGCTCTCTTTTCTTGTATCTTTATGTGCCATGGGTAGATTCGTGTCTCTTTTTGTTGTCTCTGACCTTATGGGGACATTTCCAAAGGCCCACAGAAAAACAGAATTTAAAAGACACTTTGCCCATCTTACTGACCTTGAGATTTAGTTCATGGAAATCATCTTAATCTGACCTCCACAAGTGGGCTCTTTGAGTTAATATTTAGTTCATATCAAGATGTAAGTTATTCTTTAAATGTAACCCAAGCTTTGAAAGCATTACTCACTGACTTCTTTGTACTTTTTGGTTATGCATACCCGTTACAGCTTTTGGTTCCCTAAAAACCCAGCAGTTTTTATACTTTCTTCTGTTTTGGAAAGCAATGGAGTTTATCAATCAGGCCTTTCTTTGCTTGTACTGGCACAAAATGTGCAGCCCATGCTTGCCCCCACCCCTCTTCACCCAGACCAAAACTTCCTTTCTATTCAAAATCACTGATGGAGCCTTCAAAAAGAAATTTCTCTCTCTCTCTCTCTTTCTTTCTCACACATACACCAGATCCCTAGTGTTACCCTGCATGGGGCTTAGAGAACTCTTTCATGATGTTTTCCAAGGTCTCTTCTGAGAATTCAAAAGCAGTTGCTTTGAAAGGCAAAAGGTATTAATTATAGACATTGCTAACACATTCCTTATACAAAGACCTTGCACTGGAAAACAGTTATCAGTTGGAAGTACCTGCAATACATTCTTCCCTAAAGAGACACAGTTAACTCTTAGGGGCTTTGGGAGTACACTGTAGTTCATTAGGCTCCATCCTTGCCAGCTCCCAGAAGTTTGCCTTGGCTTAGTTGAGTGTTCTTTTCTAAGCATTACTGGTATACAGGTAAGTATTTGGCTTTTTTTATTTACAAATTCATATTTTTTCCTGATTATGGTTTAAAAATCAAATTGGTATGGCTAAGTTGTTGAAAAGATTACCTTTAGCAAACGTTCATATTTCAGTGAGGAAATTGTTTATAAGAAATGTCTGTGGCATATACAGATTTAAAATTTTTTTCAGATTTTTGGAAGTAAAAAGTTTCATGCCCCGCATTTAAACATTCTTGAGACACCTGTTCACTTAATACAAGTACCTTTCCTCCTGCAAACTGCTGCCTTGTGTCTGGTTTTCACAAAAGGAGATTATTTGTGCAGTATTGATTGTTCTTAACTGCCCACCTGTGTGCACACTTTGCTTTCCTTAATCGGAGAGCCACTGAGTATGTTCTCCCATTGTTGTTACATCTCAATACTTCTATTTTTATTGGGCTATTGTTTAATATTGAAAGCCATTGCCCTCATCTTTCTTCCTTAGATGTGATAGTTCAGCATCACCTCCAAGTTGCCTTACTGACTGCCACATTTTACCATGTGTGGCTGAACTTGCACAGCCTTCAGGGAGACTCGTGTGCAACACCACAGACCAAGGCTTTATAATACTTAATATCTTCCAGATTGTGCAAATGGTTTCCTTTTGATAAAAACAAGCTTAGACAATAAATAGTTGTCATTTTCCGTCTAAATCTCATACAAAAACTCTACCACTGTAGAGGGAAGTTTGCCCATCTACCTTTTATAAACATCAAAGTATGTGCATTATGGACCGAGTTCTTTGTAATTCCCTGCAGCAGGGGTTTCTGTGCCATGCACGGCCAGGGAAGCTCTGGTTGCTCTGACAGCCTGAGATGCTCTGTATCCTGCAGCTGAGAAATGTGCTTTCTCATGCAGGAAAACAGTGTGGAGTTTGAGGCCTGTCTGGTGGCCCAGTGTGATGCCCTTATTGATGCCCTCAACAGAAGGAAAGCTCAGCTGCTGGCCCGGGTCAACAAGGAACATGAACACAAGCTGAAGGTGAGCACTGTGCCTGCTGTCCAGAGAGCAGCAACCAAGGAGGCCGGGGGCCAGGAACCGTGATAGACTTGTGGGCTGGCTGCCCACAGCCCTGGGTGGCCAATGACCTGGCCAGTGAGCAGAAAGCACAGTTCTTCATTCACCACTGAAATATCTAAATGCTTACCTAGCAATGTTTTAGATGTTAAACTGCTCTGGGTACAGCAATAATAATAAATCAAAATTCCTGTCCTTGTGGGGCTTCTATTCCACCTGGAGAAAGAGTAAGCAAGAAAATAAGTAAAATGTTCAGCATGCAGCAAAAGCACTGAGGATAAAAAATATAGAAAAAAAAATAGCAAAGGAGGATGGTGAGTACCTGGGGTTAGTGTTGAAATTTTTAAATGGCCATATAGAGTCAAAAATGTGTTTTTGTGTAGGAAAATGGAATCTTTGCCATAGAGAAAACAGACAAGTTTTGTCTTCTTAATTTCTGAAGGGAAACTTAATGTTAGACAACTGTGCAGACGTTTGTCACCACACCATGAAACTAATTGATTATAAGTCTAGGGCCCAGTTGGCAAGACTGGTTCTCCTGGAGACCTGGAATAGTCCCCTCATTGCCCCATGAGAGCACAGAACCAGAATATGTGAGCAAGGGTAGACAAATGAGGATGACCAAAGGGAATCTAGCAGTGGGTAGTCAGTTGAGACCCACATAGGCAAACCTCAGAATGACCCCAATGACTGGAGGATAGGGAGAGGGGGTTGGGCCATACTGGCCTGGGGTGGAGAGATAAGTGATATCTGAACACAGGCTGTCTGTACAGGTCAGGCACTCCACATCCAGAAACCTCGGTAGGGGACAATAATGAGTTGGTGATAAGGTGACAGCCCACCAAGTAGCAAGTTAGCAATAGGTGCTAGTCCCTAGAGATTAGGAGAAGGCCCACTTCTAAAAAAATGAAGTTACTGAAGGTAAATCAAGGAAAAGTTTTCAGAATGAAGAAACAAAGGAACACAGTTTGCCAACTTCAGGGTAAAACTTGGTGGCAGAGATCCATTAGGTGGACCCTGGTTCTTGACTACCAGAGACAAGGCAAGGCAAAATGCTATTGTCAGCTGGGACAGGAGAGCTGGACAAGATCTGGCAAACTGGCAATGCTAAACCCTGAAAGGCAAAGTGCCCATCTCTTATAGCCCTTGAGGCCCAGGGAGCTCTAGTGTGGAGAAAGCGTCCAGGCAGCATGAAGAAAGCAGTTGTCCAGGGAAGCTTCATAGCTCACGCTCAAGATAAACAAAACTGCAACTGTGGCTTCCCTCTGCATTTCCCTCCTGTACTCCCCATCTGCAGGCTCCTCAAAACACATTCAGATCCACACACCTGCTCCTTCCTGTCCCAGTGCTGGGGCAAGGATGCAGTGGGAACTCAACCCTTTCTTCCTTGACTTTGTAAATTGCCTAGGGCAAGGGGAGTCTGGAATTGAGGCAGACAGAAGGCTGAGCTATGACACTGGGGCCTAAGCCAGCCTGACTCTGCAGTCAAGGTCATCACTGTACCTCTGAGGTTTTCCTCATAGATGGCATCAACACAAAGACAGTTGTGTGTCTTGAAGCTGGACTCTGATTGTGAGCTTGGAAAGGAAGACATCCAGGGCTCCAATGTTTAAGGAACACGAGCCTGTTAGTGTGGCAGGAAACAAAGACTGGCAGTGCTTATGCTCCTTTCAGAACAGCTGTCAATAGTTCCTGGTGATGTGCCTAACCAGCAGGTCCTGTTGGGCAGATCTTAGGAAAAACTCAAGCCATTACAGATCCACATGCCAACCCAGCCTCCTGGAATCATCCAACTGGAAATGAAGCTAGTAATAAAGCATGGGACTCTCCTAGGATGTCATACTCTGTGGCATGAAACACATCATGCATAATCCGTGGTGAAGTGGTCAATGATAGGGACTTCTAATGACATGGCTTGCTCTAGCCCCTAGTTCCTATTGGCTGTAATAAGCTTATTTGTTTTTTAATTTCCCCAAGAGATACTGAGCTATGATTCATGGCAACGTATGTGGGAATTCTTAAAATGTGGGGGCAGTCTTAAAGATACTAACTTTTTTTACCCAAAAAGTTCTGAAAGTTTTGCCATATGGATTTCTATCTTACAGATTTACTTGCAACCATCTGGAAAATGGTTCTGTTCCATAAAAGTTTTCAACTAAGAGAAGTTGTGTCTGAATGATTTTTTTTTACTGGAATCACCATTTCTTATCTGGATTAAAAGCAGAAATGTGATTCTGTAGTCACCTAGCTGGCAATACTAGATGAGCATCCTTAGTGACCAAGTCCTGGCTTTAACAATGGCAATAACAGGGATGGTGCTGTGTTGTGGGTAATGGCAATGTCAGCCTACCATATAGGCACCAGTTTGAGTCGTGACTGCTCTACTTCTAATCTAGCTCCCTGCTAATCTACCTGGCAAGGCAGTAGAGGATGGCCAAGTGCATAGATCCTTGCATTCACATAGGAGATCCTGGCTCTGTTTTGGCAGTATCACAGAGGATATTCATGATGATAACAGCTAAGCTTCCGGTGATGTCTCTTCGAGGCAATGATGTACAGATCCACGTGGCAGGGATCAACTTAGTTCCTGTCTACAGTAGCACTGTGGTGTCATTGTCACCATTATCTCCATGCTAGAGCAACATCTACAGCATCATGGCACCATGCACTTCAGCCAGAATTTAAGCTGTGAACACTTGGCCTGGAGCCCAAAGTCTGAGGAACAGTACCCTATTGTGTTTAGTTGGAAGCATACTGTGGAGAGAAGACATTTCTCTAAGTCAGCTAGGACCTCAATGATACACACCCTTGAGGGGCTGAGTATACCCACAAATAATGCCCACCCAGGTAGCAGACAAGCTTCTCAGGCTGTAAGGGCAATATCACTGACAGCTATAAAGGTCACAACAAATCATGGAAAAGCGAGGCCCAGAGTAGCTCAAATTGTGACAGTGTGTGTTGGTGGCTACTCACAACTTATTTTTTCTAAGGAGGTTTTTTGGTTTGTTTGGTTTGTTTGGTTGGTTGGTTTTTGTTGTTGTTTTGCTTTTATATTTTGCTTCTGGTTTTGTTTTTGATTTAAGAGGTAGAATATAAGAAAGGTAGTGATCCTCCTCATTTTCCTGTGCTGGTTCACATCTCACTGCTCTGAAGTGTGGGGCTTTTTAGGATTAAGTTGGCTGAGGCCCTTCTGGCAGAGCACCCAGGACTGCCTGCTGGTGGTAACTTGAGAAGCAGAGGGAAGGAAACCGAGGCTCTTCCTCTCTCCTAGCCTGCATGGCCTGGAGGCTCTGCCAACAACACAGCAGTCACCAGAAGAGACTCCCCAGGGTCTCTTCTTGAAAACCAAATAGCCTGCCTCTGCTATTTTGTTATAGTGATGAGAACCAGACCAGTGCTAAGTGTCCCTCTGCAGCTCGGCAACTGTGAAAGCCAGCAGTGGGTTATGCTGTTGGTGCTCGTGTGAGAAGCATGAACGCAGAGCTGGAATTCCTTGGTCCAGGCCTGCGTCCTGGGTGGGCTGCCCCTGCCAGACACAAGGATGCCCTGACAGGCTGCAGAGCAAGGCAGCTGTCTGCCCTCATTCTATCCAAGGTCCATACCCCATCTCACAGGATTGCCGAAGCCAGAGCCAGGTGGTTGGTGTCCCCCACGGCAGCAAAGCTGTTCTGTCCTCTGTCTCCAACAGTTTTTCGCTCTACAGTTCTCAGCTGATTTTTTATCTGTCACCACATTTAAAAGCTGCCACCCTCGCTGCCAGTACTGGTCCCACAAACCCTCACTCTTCCGTCCTCCCTTGCCTTTTCTCTTTCTTGTCACTTTTCTTGCTTCCCAGATTTGTGAGGAAAAAAATAAACACAAAAACAGCCTTTTATAGACTCTCCTTCCGGAGCACAGTACTTCTTTCTCTCTTCTTTGGCTAACTTGTCCTTCATTATGCGGTGAGGATAATCATGTTCTTCCAATTCCTTTTGGCCAACCTCTCTGGGGGCCAGCAGAGAAAGAAAGAATTGTGTATTTGTGTGTGTGTGTGTGTGTGTGTGTGTGTGTGTGTATGTTTCCTGGTAACTTTCTCTCTTTGAGCCAATCCAAAAGACTTGGGATGCAGGAAAGTGGGTGAGCATTTACACAATCTTTATAATCTGCTCATGTCCCTCTCTCTGAGAGCACTGATTGCTCAAACAGATTTAGTTGTTCTGTCCTTCTGGTCTGAGGCTGGATGGGTCTCAGCTGGGAAGAGCCCAGATTCTGTGTGGCAGAGACCAGACTGAGAGGACACATTTCATCACTCAGTCTGCAGCCACGGGAAGGCCTGTGCCTCCTGGCTTTTGTCTAAAATACGGGTCAAGGCGGTGCTCACTTTCTAGAGCTTGGTACAGCACCTAGCACAGCATTTAGTAAATATGAGCTGTAACAGCTATCTTGTAGAAACAGAATGATGGGGAATATTTTGTCATTCAGTGTTTTAAAGAAATGTTTCCAGGAGTTTGTCTTCCACAGTGCTGTAATTCACACTATTAGAGTCAGCCCAGGCTCTTATTTTCTCATCTCTAGACCTGGGGAATTCCCTACCGGCTTGCGTTTATAATACATCATTCCATAAAATGGTTAACAAAGTTAAGTGAGCTATTTTTAAAAGCTAAAAACAAAATTTTTAAAAAAAGGCATAGGGCTTGGAGGCATATGTAGATATGGTCATGTTTTAAGAAGACTGTTTGAAATGTAAATTACAGTTATTACTCCTCTGTGGTTTGAAAAAGTACTGGGAGCCAAATATGTATTTTCAAGATGTCATGAACTTAAATAAGTATCAGAAAAGTACTAGAACAAAAATGCTTTTGAGCTTCCAAGAAATACCATTAGCTCCTAAATGAAACTCCTTGAGCAGTATCCTAGCCATTGACACCCCCTCCCCAGGTTTCTGTCCTATCTGTGCAACATGTCAGCATCCTACCCAGGACTTA